ATTAAATTGTAATTAAATTGTAATTAAATTGTAATTAAATTGTAATTAAATTGTAATTAAATTGTAATTAAATTGTATTTGAAACTATTTAAGAGAATACTTTAAGAAAGTATTATATGTTTCGCTATATGGTAGATAAATATTCCTGTTAAATATGATTAATATTTGATACAGTCAAGTTATAAATTTCTTGTTTACCTTTCATAACCCATGTAGTTCAATAATATTTTGATAGTAAAAAAAGTAATTCAAACTTTAATATAACAAATATCAAAGTCTTTTAACGTTAATTACAAGTGTAAATATTAAACCTAATAAATATATGCAAATTAAACATCAATCGCAGTTTAGAATAGCCAGTTTAACCAGTTGGGCTCGTATATATTCTACAAATAATTTTGAGAGTTCACATTTTGATATGTGAAAGGTTCTATAGATATTGTTACAAAATAACACGACATTATTACTGTATTATACAAAGTGAAAAATTAACTTTAATGATCTTAGACGTGAACATAAGTCTATTAATTTACTGTATATCAAAAAAACAAAACAACCGACTGAATGCAAAATGAAAAATCCACTTTGTGTAGCATTATCATATTTAATTATAAAATAATATAATATTCATTGATTTGTTTTGTTATTTTTAGATTCAAACATAATATTATGAGAATTCAGGTATGTATTATTCTAATTACTAATCTATTACTCGTATTATATTTTACTTACACTATTATTCGTAGATTCGTGTAATTCAATATCTACCCCAATGAGATCTAATTTTGGCAAGGACCAACATTTAGATCCCGTATTCCAAGGTTATTGGATAGTTAATATGACCATGTGAAGTTTTTTCTGTGATATTTTGCAAAAATATCACAGAAAAAACTTCACATGGTCATATTAACTATCCAATAACATTATCGAACATACGTACGACAAATAACAGTCAATTTTTTTGTCGTCTGTGCCAACAACCACCTTTAAAATCTATTATTAATCAAGCGGCATCATATTTTATACATACCTTTCACAATCGCATGAATTATCCGAATCTGATAACAAGAAGGAAATACACTATCATTTTCACTATCATTTTTAATTGAATTTGCAATATAAAATTTTGTTTTTATGTAATTTCTAGGCATAACAATTTTAATAAAATGAATTTTAATTGAGAATTTTAAAAAAATTAAATTTTTACGTGTCACATGAGTTTAATAATAAACTGCGGCATAATATGGAATTTTTTCTAACAGTGTATACATAGTACCTGTCAGATAACATTATACGGTCAACTCTCTCTAAGTGCACGTTCTCTAAGTGCAACTCTTAATAAAATTTTCTCTAAATGCAAGGCTTTTTTGGCCCAAGTATATAGAAAAATATAAATTTTGTATTCTCTCTAAATGCAAGATTTTAATTTTTTTTATATTAAATTTTTCTTCGTCCCGGCGACTTGCACTTAGAGAGAGTTGACTGTGTACAGACATCGATATAACCAGAGTAACATGCAATAAACTCATTGCACGGGTCTTATGTGACAACCCGTGCTTTTTTCATTTGGTTATTGCACGGGATGGTTACGCCAGGCACCGTGCAATAAGATAGTTATTGTATGGTTTGATTGAATAACCTAGTTATATTACACGAATCGTTGCTAATATTGAAAACAAAAAAATATATATATAGAATATTCCTTTTTTATAAGTTAATGTATAGTTCTACAAATTGTAATATACTTAATTTTACGTTCCAACCAAAGTTCCAGTTCTAATTGTAACTCATACAAACACCAGTTTAATTTTTTCATTAAAGTCTTAAGATATAACATTCAGGTTTAGTAAGCGCAGTTTTCCTATATATTATATCTTTGAAAGTGCGATTCCTAATTCATATAAGCAAGCCAATTAGCACAGACATACAATCGTCAAACTAGATTATTAATAATAAATTCATGTAATGGCATGAAAATTTAATTTGTTTACACATATCACAAGATAATCCTCCAATCATTATTTCAAGATCAAGGAGGATTATGATTATAACGCTAATACTCTTTTCCTAACGTTACTAAATCTGATAAATTTCCGGTTTAGTTCTGTTTCAGAACAAGTTTTGCTCAAATAGTACAGATAGACAGAATGAATGGAAAACGTGACTTATCATGAGTAATGAATAAGTACATAAATAAATACTGTATAGTCATGTAAAAATTAAGTTACAAATCTATGCATCTAATTGTGGAATTAGAAGTCGACTTTAATTTAAAAGATTTATAAATACAGTGCGACCCGAATACGATAAAAAAAAAACCTAGGGGACATGCACACAACTCATATTGCGAATATAGTTCATGTAATATATGTAGAGCATATAGTACAGATAAGAGAGAAAATTCATTACCCAAATTTTTAAGACCAATATTTCCTCATTATTATGTGTATTTACTTATGAGTCACCATTATTCTGAATTTCACAATTCATAAACATGAAAAAAGCATATTAATTATTATCCGGCATCCGACTATGATCGGGCTTGCCAAATAACTCCAGTTATTTGGCAGCTCACATATAAAAAAAAAGTTTATTTAGTTATTTGGCAGCCCACATATGAAAAAAAAAGTTTAATTTAGTTATTTGGCAGCATTATTTTTTTGCATCGGGTAAATTACTAAGCATAATAGAACTTTTTTAAATTTGAAGACAATTGGATATAATCGA